ATTTTTATATATATATATATATATATATATATATATATATATATGATGTCTTAAAAGGACCACTTCTGTTCACTGATTTTGTATAAGTGGTTATTTGGATATTGCATCCAGCTCACAGCAGATCAGACTGGATTTTGTTAATACACAGCAAGCAAGAAGCTACAGGAGACAGGGTCTGCTTATCTTTTACAATTTTTTTTTTTTTTTTTTTAAACAGATGAGATTGATTTTTTTAAAATTTCCTTTACAGTGCTCATTTCCCTTGTAACTTAATGTGCTTACATACTACTGAAGGATTTAAAATCTGAATACATATTACCATGCCCTGAACTCTCACTGGTGTCACACAGTTGACAGTGAGCAAGTAACTAAATAGTGGGTTTTTTTCCTTTTGTCAAAGAAATACAGAAACCAACTGATTTGATCAACACATGATTATAATCACTCCTCTGAAATGTACCAAATGGATTCTTGTGTTCATCTGTAAAAACTGGGTATCAGATACGTATATTTACTGGTTAGAATTTTTATTAACTGTTAGAAAGACAAACTTTCACTCAAAGTATCATAGTCTGTTGTGTAAAGTGGGGTAAAAAACATTGACTGCTAATCTCCTCTTCTGATTTTGAGAGTTTTCATTTTAGCAATAAGTTATGATTGTTGACTTTAAACTTATGATAGTTTAAGGAACTTGACTTTATCCTGTTTCATACAACAATCTGAATCTGGTAGAAATCTGACAAATATAGTTTTTCTGGTGTGTGTCTGTTTTTAATACAGGACAGGTGCAGAAAATAGAAACAGTTTGTTCTGAAACATATTTTTATGACAATATTTGCAAAATTTTATTTTCCCATAATTTTCTATCTTTAAAGGAAGGACAAATATAGCTTACCCTCTATGAATGGTATTTCTTTTACTCATGGAAATTGTAATGTCATCTGGCTGATTATATTGTAAATACATACTCGTATGTTACTTCTATAATGTCATATGACAATTAGGTCTTGGAATAAGATGTCTAAAAAGGTCGTTTCTAATTATCTTTTAGAATGTAGTAAATGACAATGGAATTATTTCATACCCCTAATTTTGTAGACTCTCTGAGGTTTCAAGGGACACAACAATAGACCTTCACCTTTAGAATTTTAGATGTTTGTCCTAAGTGGAATTGAATCTGTGGTTTCACCTGAGAGATCTTGTGTAAGTTCTATTTCCCCCTGTGAGTACAATTATTTCTTTTATTATTGCTTTGGCAGCTACAAAAGCTGATGGATTTGCACTATATTTCCTGGGAGAATGCAATAATGTAAGTATGCTGGATTAAGATACTGGTTTTTTGTACATTTACAAGTGCGTTTTGCAACTTGACAATGATATCTTGATTTTATTTTGCATGTCATTTAGGAAGTATTTCCTGAGTGCTGCATATTAGAGCTTTATGGTATCTTTACTTCTGTAAAATAGAAGTTTATTGAACAGATTGGTAATGGAAAAAAGGCCTTTTAACTTTTTTTAAAGATTTGGCAGTAGTGCTGTTGTTTCTCTGACTGTAGCAACTTAACTTGCTATTTAGCCCCATTATTAATTGTCTTTAACAAACAGAAAACTTAATTTGGATTTACTCTCTGCACAGCCTATTCTTTTCATCTAGTTATCTCTGATTTTTTTTAAAAAAATCATCAGGTCTTCTGTTAACTGTCAGCTGCAACTTGATAATGAGATAATGTAAATTTCAGATGTAGATTTTAGTTAGCATAAAATAAATTGTACATTTAAAGTTTATGAGTAAAATCAGTTTCTGGTGTAATAATTTGAATACCAGTGAGTCCAATATTTGGTGGTTTTGTTATCTGACATTTAGAATGCATTACATTTTTTTTTTCTATCCAGATTAATTTGTGCAGTTACCATTATACAAGATTTCGTAGTCACTTTGAATGGCTATCAAGAAGGAAATGCAGTTTATACTTCAGCCAGTTCCATCAACTTAAAAAATCACAATTTGTCAGAAATTTTATATCTTTCATTGGTTCAATAAACAAATTAAACTCTTCTTACTGAAAAATGACTAGAGAGGAAAATATTTTTCTCATTGTTTTTGTTTCCTTACTTTCCACAGCCAGTTTTAATAGTTTATTTTTGTACAGTCCATTAGCCAATTTCCTTTGCTCTTTGTGAAATAATTGAATTCAGAAAAAGGGAAGGAATTACATTTTTGAAATAATGGAACCAGAAATGAAGATATACAAACCTGAAGGTGACTTGAGCCTTGCCTGAGAATATTTTTTATTTATTCAAAAAGACAGTGTCTATTTTGAAGGATGTGGAAGAAGACCGATACAGAAATTTCCTAAAAGAAATGGAAATAGGTTTTGCATTTTTTTTTTCATTTAATGATTATTTCATATAATAAAGACAACCCATTTTATTATTCCTAAATTGGGTCTGCTGTGAATGGATTCTGCAAGTATGTAAATACCGTGCATTTTTTAATAACCTTTTCACCGAGGGGTGTAATTTAAGTACCATGTTGTTCATCTTTTGTGAACGCCATCCTTGGTTCTCATTAGTAGGTAACAGCGTGCACCGTCATGGATTGGGGGTGATGCAAACAGTCACTGAAGAGCTTCCTTCTGCTGCTAAAGGCAGGAGCCTGCAGGAAGGGCAGCCATCCATTCTGAATGCACAGCACTGTCTGGCTTCAGTGGCAGTGACTGTGTGCCAGCTGAACATTCATCTCTAAATGCTTCATAAAACATTACCATAGAATTGACTATACAGCTTGAGACCCAGAGAATTCTTACTATGATGAGGTTTTTCCTGTTAGATTAGTGTGGCATAATATGGGGTTCCCTCCAGTCTTCTGATACCTTAAGGGCCTGGGCACTTTATGACCTGCCTTTTTTTTTTTTTTTTTTTTTTTTTTTTTTTTTTTTTTTTTTTTTTTTTCAGTAGCCTGTTAGGCAGTTGCATATATTTACTTCCCAGTAGAACTCCTTCCTGAAAAAGGTTCCAACTACTAAAAACACACATTGACTTTATTAACCACTGTTATGTAGCTACATCTCCCAAAATGGAATGTTCTTCATGTAGTTATTATAGGGACTGATCCCAAGTCCTTTGAAGTTAGTGTGAGATTTTCCATTCACATTAGTGGGCTTGGAGCCAGACTCAAGTTTGTAGTCTTGTAACTAAATGGTAATGCATTAGCCTACTTTTTGTAAGAAATATTGTTGAAAATTAATTTGGATATCTTTGTCTCTTGAATATTTAATTTAAAGGATGTGTCCAAGTAAGATTAACCATTGTCCAGCAAATACTGGCAATGTATTTCTATATGTATTTATTAAATATCTTTTTCTAAATGGGAACAAAAAGATTCTGCATTGCATAAATGGCAGAAAGGAGCTAATTCTTTAGGATCAAGTTTCAAAAATGATAAAAAACTCGCTGTCATTACCCTGGACAAAGTAGTTGCTGAACACCTATGGCAACATATTGAAGAATGTCTTCAGTTTTGCGGTGGCTTAACTTTTGATGCTTAGTTTGTGACTTACGTTTTGCAAATTCAGGAAACCTTTTTTTTTTTTTTTTTCTTTCCCAATTTTAGCATATGGATTTTTATTTGTCAGCTTGAGAAATATATATAAATCTGCTTGTATTTATCCAGTCAGCAGCCTCATGTTTCAGAACTAGACCTGATGTAACTGTTATTTCCACCATGCTTTCAAAGAAATAATTTTTGCCTGAATACAGCTTTTCTGGAGTGTGTGTGTGTGTATGTTTTTTTGAGAATTAGGTACTGGGAAGGGATTGTGTAAGAATGGAGGAATCCTGTTAATGGTGCAGAGGCTTTCAAAATAAACAGGAAAAATACTTAAAAATAAAATTTAAGTACAATCAATTGGGACTCTAGCAATCGTTAATAAAGAACAGATTTGAATGTCCGTGAGAGGAAAACTATTACGGTACAGTCCATTCAAGGAATTCCTAGGATTTAGTGACAATACAAAACACACAATCGCTCACCTAAAAGTGAGGGCTCTCAGCCTCAAGTTTCTCTTGTGTGGCATCCCAACCCATGGGGAGAGTCCTTGACCACAGCCGTGGTGCTCCAAAGAGGACAGACTCAGAAAGGACTCTCCCACGGGACTCCATTTATACCCGAGCTGAATCTGATCTGTGGTCAATATCAGCTCTTACTGGCCTCTCAAGTCCTAATTGGGACTCTAAAGACCTGAGAACAAGGGTACGAAGAAGGAATCGGCAGCTGCTATGTCTCAACAGCCAGGAAGCCCCTTTGTCAGGGTCAGTGAACTCACCACAGTTAATAAGTAGATACCTGCTTTTCTCCCAGATGGGTTTGTAACATTGTGATGTGTGTTCTGACTATGTTCTGTAAGGGAACTTAGGATCAAAATAAAAGAAAAGCATTAGCTCGACTTTGTCTCAGCTCCAGCTGTAAATATGTATAGGTATACTTGTGCCTGTTCAAAGAAATCCAGATCTGAGCATCTTCACGTGCAAATTTCAGCTAAGGAATGTTTTTGTGGAATGAGATCTCCGTAACTACCTTTAGCCTAGATTAAATAGTGAATTTCATTAGAAATAATTAGGATATAAGATAACTTTACAGAAATTCTAGACATTTACAAAATGAAAACTAGCATGCTGTGTTCTATTATTTATTGATATTAAGAGAAGAGTATTGTCATGTTGTAATTGTGTTTTTTTTTTTTTCATGGGTTACTAAGAATTCATTGTAATCTTTCTTTGGTGCAGTTTTTAATATGGACAGCATGTCTCTTACATGAAAATTATATTAGAACTGATAGCAAATTTGTTTAATGTGAAGAAAAGCTCTAGATTAGCTGGTCCTTTTCTTTTTGTAAAACACCGATACACTGGCCTTTAAAGGAAGACCTTGTTTTAGAAAAATTCCGTTGGAGTTTAGCAGTACAAATGTGAGTTTGTCAAAATACCTGTCCATATGTAAAGTTTCTTTATGGCCTTATTTTCTTTCTCTCTTGAAGTATATGAAACTATATCTTGATTTGTATTAGAGGTGGATAACAGCATAAGGACAAGGTAATTTCTGGCTGACAGGTCATGTTGAATGACTTCAGGATCTTTGCTTGGGTGAATTTGCTTGAAATAGAAGATGCTGCACCAGCTGCAGGTTGCAGTGAATTTCCTTATGCAAGTATTACTCAGAATTGGTGCCACAATAAGTGTGAACTGTTCAGTTATTTTAGCAACCTTCTGTTTGTTCAAACTGCTTGAGAGTGCTAGCATTCATCACACTTGTTGCTAAGGGTCTTCTGATGGTATGATTCGGCTTTTCAAATGATTGCCCTAAGGCAGGTAAGTACCATTCGCATGTCCAACTCCTTCCTTCCCCATAAAGTTGCTCTGTGTATCAGAATCTCATTTTGCACATGCTGTGTGTATGGTGGAATGTATTGCAAAATATTCAGGTACTAAAAACAATATAGCTACGATGTAGCTTCCTCATCAGGGTCAAGTGATCTGAACAGAGCTGTGCCTGTAACTGCCTCTGGTTCTTGAACTTCTCCATACCTAAGAAGTTAACCTTTGTCCATGCGTTAGTGCAGTTATACAAATAAAATTATTTGTTCTTAAGGTACATAACAGCCATTTTGCAAATACTGCATACTGGAGACTGGAAACACTTCCAAATCAAACAGGAATGTTTCACAACTCTCCAGAAAAGGACTTGACTTTATTTCACTTTTCTGTTTCATTCCTTATGGGGATGAATATATAGTTCATAATTCTCATGTTACGACCTTAATTGAATATCATCTTTGAACGTGACTTAAAGGATTTACTGAAATCCTTGTATTGGATGGAGTGTGTGTTTAAATCAATGTGCCTAAGTACCGTGGTAGCTGGGAATGGATTTAAGCCCATAAGCTGACATCTTTACAAGGCAATTTTTCTAAAGTACTTATCACAGCTACAGTTTCTAATGTATTACTATATTATCTGATTCTTCAGATGCTTCTTCTTTCTAGTCTTTGTGTGAGTAATTCACCTCATGATTACATTGTGATTCCTACGTAAAGATGTGTGACTTCTAATTTAATAGGCATACACTTGAAGTAGATTTTACGAGGTCTTGTGAGTGTTACTTAGTTCCTGAAACTATAAATTGTGTTGACAAACAGTTCATCTTTGCTTCAGATAGAAGTTTCCAATAGCTTTATTGTAAGAAATATTTATGTGAGGCCACAAATATGTGCACATACTCTGTGCTTCAGGGTGTATCTTACTAAGATCTTC